TTGGAATTTCTTATCTTCTTGATAAGAACCCCTTCCGGGAAGATGTCCTTGCCTGAAAAAAATCCACTCTTAATTTCTTAGTTCCACCTTCATTTTGCCTATAAAAACCTTCCTTTTTGTACAACTCATCAGAGTTGCTCTTCTAGTTGCTAGATGGGATGCTGCCCAATTCATGAATTGCTTAACTAAAGCCAATTAGATTTTCAAATTTTGTTTTTTAACAAAACCAATCAAGATTCTTTCATTAATTCAACAAACATTTGTTATGTTTATGGTATATACCAGACATTGTGTTACGTGAAAGAAACAATGGCAAACAACAGGGAAGCTTACTGGTAACTAAGCTTCCTTATGAAATTTTCAGTCTATCATGGAAAATAGAGAGGAAAAATAACTTTGCCTATACCCTTCTGGGTTCTTGGCTAAAACATCCCTGTAATAAAAGACAGATTAACAGGAGAAAAACAAAAGTTTAATCAGATGTATACCTCTTATATACATGGGAGTGTTAAAAAACAAAATTCAACCTAGTAAATTTGAAAATCTAATTGGCTTTAGTTAAGCAATTCATGAATTGGGCAGCATCCCATCTAGCCAACTACAAGTATACTCTATGAGTTATATAAAATGGACAGATTTTACAGACAGAAGAAGGGTGGGACTAAGAAATTAAAACAGTGGATTATTTTTGGCAAAGACACCTTCCCATAGGGGAAGGCAAGGAGTCTTATCAGGCAGATTATCTCAGTAGTGTTGATCAGAAAATTCTAGGCTGATTGATTATGTTTCTGGAAGAGGTTGAATTGCTATTAGATCAGGTATTTAGGTTTGGTATCATGGGCTTTCAAGAGAGTGACACCATTTTAAGCCTGTGCTTTTCTAATTAAAAAGGAGAGACCCAGGAAAACTGAGTAACTCGTGGAAATGGCCGAAGCCACCAACTTAAATACCATCTTCAGCTGAAGACAAAAGAAATTAGGAGTGGGGGAGTCAGTTATGGGAGGTAACCAGAGCACAATAAACAAGAGTAAGGCTGTTATGCAGATTTAAGTCATTGTCTTATGCACTGATAAGAGTTTCTGGAGATTTTGGTTGGAGTGGGAAGACACCCTTACAAATGAAGATTTTCCTTACAAAGGTAAATGTGCTTTACAAAAGGTAACTCTACTTGGTTCCAAAGCTTCTGCCAAATCTCCATTTCTTAAAATTAACCAGCCTAAAATCATCATTATGCCAAAGAAACACTTTGTGGTGACAAATTCTGTTCCCCTATAGCTCCCAGGCTATAAACCTGTATAGCATACTAGTGTACTGAATACTGTAGGCAACTGTAACACAAGGTTATTTATGTAATGTGTTGCGCTAGACAACTACGATGTGACTATGCAATAGGAATTTTTTCAGCTCCATTATAATCTTATGGGACCAGCATTTGTATATGTGGTCCTTAGCTAATGGAAATGTCATACAATGCATAACCGCAGTTAACTAGTTGAGGGCAAGGGGAGAGCTGGCAGCCATGCAGTGGCAAACAGTAAAGCAAAGGTCCTGAAGTAGGAGGAAAAATGAAAGCATTCTAGGATCTGTGAAAAGATGAATAAAACTAAGACATACAGAAGGGAACAAGAGGAACAAGTAGCTCATAATGAGGTAAGGGTGGTAGGCAGATACAGGATGACACAGGACCTTCCAAATGATGTAACAGATTTGAACTTCATCCTCAAAACAACGGGAAATCACAGTATAGTTTTAAACAAAGGAATGCCAATCTTTTTACAAACTGATCTTAACAGCCAAATTTTTGCTCATGTAAAAGTGAAATGCTTGGTGTGACTCCATGTTGTTCAAGCCTGTGTTGTTCCCACGGCTTTCAGGATAATAGCTCCTGCTTAGTCTTGCATATAGATAGGCTAATCATTTCAGGAATTCTGCTTGGGTTTGAGTTTTATAAAAACAGTTCCTCCCATTTCTTTAAGATAGATTTGAGGAACTAGTAAGGCTCTCTCATCTTCTCAGCCAGCACTCTTTCAAATCAATAAAACTTTCCTATGCCGAACTATGATGTGTTGGGTTTTAGCCTTTCAAAGCTTTGGACACTTTTGGGACTGGTAACACTAGCACTGTCCTTTTAAAAAAATATCCTGACTAGTATTTCAAGAAACTTGGAAGAAATATTCTTCTTCTTTTTTTTTAATTTTTTCCTTTACTGATTTTTTAGAGAAAGTGAAAGGGAGAAGGAGATAGAACCATCGATTGGCCACCTGCATGCCCCCCCACTGGGGATTTGACCCACAACCTGGGTATGTGCCCTGACTGGGAACCGAACCGGTGACCTCCCAGTGCATGGGTCAACGTTCAATCACTGAGCCAGACGGGCAAAGCAGAAGTAATATTTTTAGAGATAATAGGATCATCAAGCTATCATAGCTGGATCACATCAATCATTAAGACCATTTGATACTTCACATAGCTCATTGGAAATTAGTTTATTAGTTTATTATGAGTAATTACATGCCCTATTTAATGAGTATTTAAAAGTTCTGTCTGCCCAAAAAACACTCTCCACCTTCTGTGGAAATGTTTACCAATGATAAACTTCACTACCCTAGCCAAGGAAGCAGGTATATGACCCAGCCTGGGTCCTTCACTGTATTTACCACTTCCTGGCTATAGTAACTGATCCAAAGGATGGGCACATGACCTAAATTTTGGCCAGTCCTCTAGATTTTAAACACTGAAGTTTGGAGAGAAGCACTTTTATTCCTCAATGTGTAGGCTCCATCAAGGTGTGAACCCAGAGAAGACAATGGCCAAACTCCATACCTGCGAAAGAGCCCAAGTAAAGGTAGAGACCCTGAAAGAAGGTAGAGACAAGCACCGATGAGAAGCTGTGGCAGTTCTGACGCATTATAATACTGTCTATTCAAGACTCTGAGATTAGCTGCACTTCTGCTTTTTGGATTTCGTTACTTCACTTCTTTCTGCTTAAATTGGTTGGAGTTTTGCAACAAAAAGAAACATCTAATGCTATGAAATAAGGAATTAATTGGCTTTAAGTAGGTAATATTTCCATCATTATCTACTAGGCTTTAAACATTACTTCTGTCCAACACAGAAAAGAAGAAAGCTCTATTCCCAGGAAGATTTTATCATTTTTGCAGGGATAACACATATTATACACACAATAAAAGATCAAATATAAAGTCTGTAAACATTTTAAACTAGAACTTTCAGATTAAAGCAGGAAAGAATTGAGGTATTAAAAAGAACAATGAACCCTGGCCGGTTTGGCTCAGAGGTCAGAGCATCAGACCGCGGACCAGAAAAGTCCCAGGATCGGTTCCCGCTAAGGGCACCTACCTTGGTTGCAGTTTGTCTCTGGCCCGGGTTTGGGTCATGTGGGTGGCAACCACTCGATGTGTCTCTCTCACATAGATGTTTCTTTCTCTCTCTTCCTCTCTCTCTCCCTCCCGCTCTATCTAAAGATAAATGCAAAAATGTCCTTGGGTGAGGATAAAAAATAAAATAAAAAACAATTAATTAAGATTCATGACACCAATGTCCTGTCCTCACTGTGTCTCGTGCTACTGTGTTACCATGGCACATCACTTATTCTCATTAAGCTACAATTTCTTCACCTAAAAACTGGGAATGCTCTACATCATTCCTAAGATTGCTTCCAAAGCTGAAATGACTGAATAAGTTTGAGGATATAAAAGCATACTCCTCATTCACATTATTCCATATTAAAAGAAGAAAAAAGTTAAATTCACTTTTACACATAAATTCAACTTTTTTTTTCCCCACTTAAGAGTTTACTCTGGACCTCCCGGTATAGCTCAGTTGGTTACAGCATTGTCCCCACACGCCAAAGTTGTGGGTTCCATCCCTGGACAGGGTGCATACAAAAATCAACAATGAATGCATAAATAAGTGGAACAACAAACACATGTTTCTCTATTTCTCTCCCTTCCTATCTCTATAAAAATCAATAAAACTTTTTTAAAAAGGAGTCTACTCTGAAAACATATGCAGTTCTCAAGGATCACTACCACAAGCAAAAGATCCCTCCAAGCAAAAAATATGAACCCAAATGAAGATATTCAATAGAATAAATATTTGGTATAAATTGAATGGTCTCTTAAAAACAGAACTTTCTTTTTCCAATAACTTTTAAGATATTTAAAACTAGAAATTTTAGACTTCTTTCTTTCTTGATCCTGCTAAAGCATACCTTGTCCTGTTACTAATTTAGATTTCAGAAAATTCTAATTTAGTACTAGTCTGCAATAACATAAAGTATTTGAAACTAGCAATAGATGGGGGCGGAGAGAATACAAACCTCAGATAGGGAAGAGGTAAAGTGGGTTATAAAATGAACCCCAAATTAGAAATCAGGAGACCAAGTTATAAAGAATTTTACTCTCATTATTTTCCCTCCAAAGGACAAGATTTCTGATTTAAGTTTACAGATATGAATACCCAGCTTTGTAGTTTTGCCTCAAAACAAACAAACAAAAACTACTACTTTGGAGAAGTTTTCAAAGGCGCATTTTGAAGGTCAGGGCAGGATCTATTCCACAAGTGGGGCCCCGGAGGCACGTGTCCCACAAGTGAAATCTCTGACACCAAAGATATCCCTCAAATTGAGATTAAAAGCCAACACTATCCTCGTGTTGCTCTGGCAGTAGAAATGGACTCTTACTCCAAATGAAGTCCTCGACGCTGACCCGGGGGAAAAGGGGGCTGCTTTTGATCATCTCATTAAATTAATTACCTCAGACCCAGACCCAGACCCAGACCCAACCCCTCCGCCGGCGCCTTGGAGGGAAAGAAGAACCGAGTCTGGGAAGGAGCCGACCTCCCTGCGCCGGAGGCTCCACCCCGAGGTCCCGGGACGCCCTCCTGAGGCCACAGGGCTCCGGTAGCACGAGAGGCTTCCACGGTTGGGGCCTGGGGTTGCCCCTCGGCCTGTGCGTGGCGGTCACTGGCAGACTTACCTCGGCGTCTTCTTTGCACTGTGGGAGCGAGGGGAACTCCAGCTTCACGTCCTCCATGATCCCGGGCCGGCGGACGGGTGGGTGGGGTAGGAGTAGGAGTTACTCGCCAGCCCGACCCTCGGGCTGGCAGTGACGGTAGAGGAAGGAGGGCCGGTGGACCGGAGGGCTGACGGGCGGGCAGCGGCCTTACAACTGGCACACGCAGACCGAAGGGTCCCGGCGACTCCGGCGGCGGCGGCGGCGACAGAGAGGGAGAGGAAGGTTGGGCAGCTCATACCCGGCCGCCATGCTGTTGCGGTCTCCCTCCCCCGGAGTCTCCGAGCCCCTCAGGCCGCCCAGACTCGGGTACAAGCACGAGCCCCGCAACCGTCTTCCCTCTTCCCCCTCCCCACCCCGCTCCGTCCCAGCCAATCCCAGCCCACGCTCGCCTTCGACCCGCCCCCCCACGACCGCCAGGTGTCAGCGCGCTGCCGCCCCGCCCCTTCACGAGAGCGCAGACGCGGGGGGCGGGGCCTCAGAACAGGCTCACCCGGCGTGGAGGAGGCGGGGCTGCGGCAAGAGAGAGCGAACGCCTGAAGGTCCTGGGAAAGGCAGTGGGGCAATTCAAACCAGCTTAGCCCTTTCCAGATAGACGTAAATCTCTTCTTTGGTATAAGAATGGTTAATACATCCCAGCCACCGGTAGCTGGAATCCGAAAGGAAAACCATAGTTTCTCCCTTCTCAGAAGCTTGCGCAATCTGTGGTGAGGTTATAACCAAGAGTAATGAGTGAAGCATTCATCTTAAAATTGCTATACTACACAGAAATTGAAACACCCATCACTTTTAAGCAAATTGAAACGGTGGATTTAGGCATATGACATCGAGAAAAATCTCAAGAAATGGCAAATAGAAAAAGTCCTAAGACATAGAAACAGAATTGATAACTCATGTCGTATATTGTACATAATAGTGAAGAAAGGTCTTTCCCTTTAATTTGAAGTTTATTAATATTTCAAATGGTGATAAATTACATGACTTCCAGTATCTTTTAAAAAGGACTTAGAGTTAATACTATATTGTTAATAAAGATTAGGTATATGATATTTTCTCTGGGCCTAGGAAGATACTATTGTCCTTCTTGTTTTTAAACAAATGAAGAAAATTAAGCTAAGTAGAAGAACCCACACTAAAACATTTAATGTTTGTACACCAAACTGAGTCTTGAAAAAACCACCACCACCAAAGTAAAAAAGCAAGTCATTTATTAATTAAATTGCAAATTACAATGGATAGAAGAATCATGTATATTTGACCTAGACCACACACATCCTATTACTTTGTTTGTTTGTTTGGTACGTGCCCCTAGCAGGCCAATGCTCCAACCGTTGAGCCAAACTGGCCAGGGCCCTCCTATTACTTTTTATATTGTCATATTTATGAAATGCATTGTCAACATATAGTATAGAAATGGAACCTTTCAATAATCAGTATTAGATGGCTAGCTTCAGTGATCCATTTTCTCTAGCACTATGTAATCTGTTTTCAATCTTTTAAAGTTATAAAAAGGCATACATACAATACTCTGCTAGTAAGTAGTAAGCTTTTAATTTGAAAAATGATTGTATAATTACCCAGTTCACATATTATTTGTTTTTTAGTGTTTATGAAACTGAAGCCAAGTTTCTTTTTTTTATAACAACACCTTTAACAAGATAATATTAATTGATGGCCAATGATGATTTTCTATTGTAATTTGTTAAAGCTTCAATTGCCACATAATATGAGAAAAAACTGTGTGTGTATAGGGAACAGAAACTTTTGTTTCAAACATTTCTGACATCAACATCCCCTACATCAGACACTCTTAGCTTGGTATCCATAGGTAACTATAGAGTCCATGGTGAGCTTGGGAAATAATAAATCTCCTTAAGTTTTAATATGTGCAAAATTATGTATACTTATGTGTGAATTTTACTGGGAAAAGAGTCCAGACAAAAACGTTCTCAAAAAGGAACTATCATTTCATATCACTTAAGAAAACCAAGTCACATTTATTAGCAAATAATACTTTCAATCATAATCTAAAAGGTTTTGGATATTCACATATTATTACACAGCCTAATCATAGTAGGTAAAGACTAAATAAAGGTTTTCTGGAAGGAGGAATATATAGCTATAGACATAAAAAGATGTTGTTATGAAACAGTGTTCTAAAATAAAATTAAAAAGCCAATAATCTATATAATAACTTCACTTTGGTTATTAAGTAGTTTACTTACTAAAGAACCTAAAGGACTATAGTAAATGTACTCTTACAAAAGACAAGAATATATGTAGAATGAATCAAACAGATTTTATTCAACTTTTTAGGATGAGGAAAACAAATGATATAAAATAAGTCATAAGAAATGCTCTTTTGGACTACTTTCTCAAATCATTATCACTGTTTTACCAAATCCTTACACAACAAATACGAAAAGCTACAACATACTATTCTTTTATAACTTCTGCTGCAATAAATGCAACTTTAACAAATATACAAATTTCTTCTGTACCAATCTTAAAAGTAGAAATACTGAATTACTAATTTTTGTTATACATATTTTTATTCATATGCTTTTAATGAGATCATTGCCAATACATACATTATTTTCTTTAACTTTATTTTTACATTAAGCCAATGTCTGTCATGCAGCCATCCTTACAGTAAATTACACAGGTTTGTAGTCTAATTTTGACTCTAGCTTCTTAGAATCAGCTACTTTTCTGACTGCTTTCATGAAGTCTTCCTGTACTACAAAATCATGATCAGCACGAATTGCAAACATACCTGTGGAAAATAAAACAAGATGACTGCTTTATATAATATGTGAACTATTTATTATGAGAAAACTAAATGATGTTATTCTATGGAGTAAATGTGAAGAAGCCTAGATTTACTACTTCTGAATCAGTAGTTCTGATTTGTTAAAAATCACTATCATTGTTCAATAAATTTTCACAGCTATCGTGAGCATTATTTTCCAAACCAAAAGCTAGAAAACAACGAGACAATTATCTGAATATTTAAAATACAAATCACACAATCCCTGTATACAATGGCATCTTGAAAAAACAAAACAAAACCCAACTATAAACAAAACATACACATTTTAAGCAGCAGTTTCTTAACTCTACAAACAGCAATTCCTTAGAAGGAAAGAGCACATACATGGCTTGGGAAAACACAAAACACTTTCAGTTAATTTTGATAGTCCTTACTTGTTAATCAAAAGCTTAAGGGAATAGGAATTTTTAAAAAGTGAACAGTAGGCGTTAACAAAACTGAGTGCCATCATTCATGTATTAAAATTACCCTAGAGCCACCCAGCCAGTGTTGCGCAGTGGTTAGAGCCGTCGGCCCAAGCAATGAAGGGTTGCAGGTTCAGTCCCTGGCCCAGGTCGAGGTACTTGTGGGAAGCAATCAATTGATGTGTCTCTCTCACATTGATGTTTCTCTCTTCTCTCTCTCTCTCCCCCTCCCTCCCTTCCACTCTCTCTAAAAAAATTAATGGAAAAAATATCCTCAGGTGAGGATTAGCAACAACAAAATTACCCTATTTATATACAAATTGATATTTTTATGTCTGTACTATTCAAGTATCATAAATCAAAATTTTCCTTCAAGTTTTTGACAAGTTACTTGTCAAATACTAACTGACAAAGGAGTTAAGGTTTTTTGTGATTTTTTTCTTTTTAACATTATGTAGTTGTATCATGGATATGAATCCCAGGTTTTGAAAAGATCCTAACTTCATGATAAGCTAAAACTGATAAGGTATCACTATCTACTAATTAAATGAATCCTACTAATATTTTCATTGAGGATAACTTATATTGACTTTTCACTTATATAAAATGAGTGTGTTTGAATAGAAGATTTCAAGGGTTACTTCCTATCTTCCCTTTCAAGATATCTAATTACAAGGAGTCTTGAAAATAGTCACTCTATGTTGTCCTCAAAAATCAGGTGAATAGATATAACAGAGTTTTTTAATATTGAAGTTTTAAAATTTGTTTAGAAGGGTACAACTAAATTAGGTGAGTTATTTTTCCAAACCTTGTGTGTCCAAATCATTGTTTAATGAATGAGTGAATATGAGATACAATCTAATCCAGAAAGTATGACAGCCTCTGGATTTAAAAGGAAAAGACAACTGTAACTGAATATAGTGTATTTTAACTTAAAGAAAGATATGTTAACACAAAAGGTTTGAAATCTAATAAAAAAAAAATTTCAGTACGTCTCTAGATGTGAATGTTCCACCATTAAAAAGCTAAAATTCTAGGTATCACCTCACACCTGTCATAATGGCTGCCATCAACAAATCATCAAACAAGTGCTGGCAAAGGTGTGGAGAAAAGGGGACTCTAGTACACTGCTGGTGAGAATGCAGACTGATGCAGCCACTATGGAAAACACTATGGTGTTACCTCAAAAAGTTAAAAATTAAACTGCCATTTGACCCAGTGATCCCACTTTTAGGAATATACCCTAAGAAACCTGAAACACCAATCAGAAAGAATATATGTACCCCTATGTTCATAGCAGCACTATTTACAATCGCTAAGATCTGGAAACAGCCCAAGTGTCCATCAATAGATGAGTGGATAAAAAAGCTATGGTACAGACACACAATGAAATACTATGCAGCTGTAAGAAAGAAAGAAAGAAAGAAAGATATCCTTTGAGACAACATGGAGGGACCTGGAGAGTATTAGCCTAAGTGAAACAAGCCAAGCAGAGAAAGACAAATATCACATGATCTCACTTATTTGTGGAATATAATGAACAAAACAAACTGATGAACAAAATAGACCCAGACACATAGGAGTAGAGTATAGACTGACAAACCTCAGAACAGGGAGGGGAGGGGAGATAAATCACAGAACAAATGTGCATGTATGTGTAACCAATGGACATAGACAACAAAGCTTGGGAAGGGACGGGGGATGGGGGATCAGGAGGGTGTCAATGGGGAAAAAAGGAGAAACATCTGTAACAAAAATAAATAAAAAATAATTTTAAAAAAAAAGCTAAAATTTGAATCTACCCAGAGTTATAGATAATTGTTGGAAATAGCTAAAAATAATTATTTTATATATGTGGAAAAAAATGGAGATGATCATAATTTGATGGTATCAGCCTTTAAGATTATGACATTGCTTTTGCTTGGATTCCACTTTTACTAAAGCAGTCTTTTGATAATAATTTGGTCAGTATAGATTTTGGAGAGTGTCATAAATTACTTCAAATAGTTCAAGCCACATGACAGTTTACTTCTTACTATTTTTGTTCATTATTAAGACTTTGTAAACATGAT